GAAATGCCTAAAATATTTCTGTAAAATATTTTTTCATTAAAAATATCATCACAAGAAGGAGTATACATATCATCTAAGCCAGGGATTTGAATCACTGATTTCTGTTCTAATTTCTGTCCAATTCTTTTGATAACCAAAAAAAGGGGAAAAAATTAAAAAACAGTAACTTACATTGACCTGCAGTAGTCCCAGGACCAGCATGTCTGGGCAGTGCTTGATGGGAAAGTTGAAGAGACCTTTGACCTGGTCGTAGTGACCGAGCTCAGACAGACGCAGCAGGGTTTCTATCAAGTCTAGTGACTTCCTGCAGACAGACACAGAAAAATTTAAGTTAATATTACACAACAGCTGAGACTGCTTCTGTGAACGATTATTTCCACCATATCAACAAAAGAAAACTATTTTGAGTGTGTATAGCATGCCTAAAGGCATTAAACAACTCCTGAAGATAGATTGCAAAGTTTGGGTGTAATAGGTTGTTCTGTGTCTAGCTGCTACCGTGCCACGTCCCTGCAAAGCTGGTGTGTTACACCAAAGGGTGGCGAATGGTGGTTATACCTGCTATACAGGTACAGATACATGGAGAACAACATCTATTTCTTAACTTCATTGTACAAGTGCTATAATCTTTAATTTGAAGCACCCATGTCATCATATCTCAAATCATCGGATTCTGTTTTTTTTCTGTGGCTAAAAGAATGTCCTTAGGGACATTTTACCATGTGGCTATTTCTCTGTTTTCGTCGTCAGGCGGTGACTTGAGAATGTCGATGACGACTTGGTGACAGGGGTAGTCAGCGAAGCAGAATACATCAGGACTAGCCAGGGCCACTTGGAACCACGACAGCTATAGGGGAGAGAAAAAACAAACACTTTGGTACAAAAACAATGACTGAAAACAAGTAATAACAGTGGTCAATTCAAGCAAGAAACTGACTCCTACATCCCACCACTAATTTTACATTTCTTAAGCTTTTTAACTTTGTGCCCTTTCACATCATATAATCGAGAAATAGTCCTGCCTTCAAGTACCAACCAAGTTATCAACCAACGATTGAGGTGTTCAGACACTCATTCTTTCCTAGAACTATCGTAGAGTGGAACTTACTGCCACCAAGAACAGTAGCTTTAAACAATGTTTAGGATTAAATGTTCAAAGGCTAGGTGTTACAAGTCGTTTGGTGTAATATAGCCAGCTGCTGACGTGCCTGCGAAGCTGGTGTGTTATGCTAAAGGACGGTTATAACTTTCACCGGCTATACGAGCAAATTTTGAGCCCTGACAGGCCTTACCTGTCCCTCTGTGTTCTTCCACTGGCGATACAGCAGGTCTATGGGAAACACGTCCTGATTGGCCAGGGCCCGGGTTAGCGCAGAGGTCAGCAGACGCAGACCCTGGGCGTCCTTCAGGATCAGACCTGGGTGGTCCAGCTCAAATATCACCTCGCGCCAGTTCAGGTGGGGGGCCTGAAAACAACAGAAACAATCCGTAAGAACATAGGATATAGGAATTTTCTTTTTACACGACCAAAACTTGCTTACGTTTCCTACATTGCTACCTACATGGGCTACATATAGCAGCGAGGGAAGCGTAACTCCAGCCAGAAGCTCTGAGTAAGGTGTCTGACAAACACAGAAACGTAAACAGAAGTTGTGGCTGTGTGAGTGTTGTTCGTGCTTTGTATACCTCACATTGCCCGAAGAAAAAGGTTGTATGTACCTTAGTGTTACTGCTGATGAAATAAATAAACTGAAAACTGAACTGAAGGCACTCACCAGATCTTGTAGCACGTCTACGAAGACATCCACAGACCAGGACTGGGACTGGCCACCCTCCGACTTGTCCTTTCCCTCACTCCATATGCTCCCTCCAGGGCTGGTCAGGGACTGTAGTGGAATGCTATCTGAGAGGCCGACGTGAGTGCGAGCCATCATTCCCAGTACCCGGGCCACCACAGCAGGGGTTACTTCACGCACTCCGAACTGTAGCAGGGTGTTCCTGCACTCCTCAACACTGCAGGGGGGGGGATAAACAGTTCAGATTCATAAAGGTAAAACTTTTGTTCCGACACAAAATATTACGCTTAGTCTACCAGCAAAAGTTGCCCCTTAAAATGCAGGAAATAGCTTTTCAGATGGTCAGGATTTCAAAATCCCCAAGCTATAGGATTTTCATGCTTCTGGAGTAACACCTTGCATCTTTGCTGCTCGATATGATGTTACACCAAAACAAATTGAGATGACGGAAATAAATTTCAGGCTTGCTGCAACACTGGTATAGTAAGAAAATTCTGTGTAGAATTGTAGAATCACACTAAGTAAGAGGGAAAAATATCAAAGTACCTGGAATTCCACCTGCTGAAATGGTTAAACACATTAAATCTTACCTGGCACAGCAGCCATATCCAACCTCTTGCATCATTTCAGCTAAAGAACCCTCCATCTGTACAGAAAAACATTGCAAAGAGTTAAAAAAAAGGTCTATCACTAGAAAAACATATGCATCAAACACTGAGACTGATCATCTTCTTCCATGAATAGTTTCATCAGGTTGGTATGTCACTAAGTAAAGAGACTCTTTTTACACAACCAAGTCTTTTATTTAGCCGATGTTTCGGGCAATTCTGACTGGTTCACATTGCACTGCAGCACAGGTGTCGCTGCTATAGATGCATTACCAAACAAACAAAAAATTACATATCTACATATCATCTCCTTGAAGAAAAGAACACATTGAGCAGAACGTACCATGTCTCTTGGCACAGTGCTTGCCTCTGCTTGACTAACCAGTCGTTCTATGGTGATGCCCTGCTTGTCTGGGTAGAGGAAAGGTGTCAGAACTACCGGACACCTCTCGTTGGGGAAATCTGCAAAAGCAAAAAAGGAACAGTCAGAAAATTTAAGTTCAGGAATTAGTTACAATGTTGCACAAATGTTGGTGTAATTTTTCATCAATGTCACAATAATTCCTGACCACATTTAACCCAATTTATAAGGGACTGTACGATATTTACCGGGGGGGGAGGGCCGGTCGTCTGAGGGGGGAGGGCCTAGGAAAAAAAATTTGAGCCGGGGGGAGGGCCTAGGAAAAAATATTTTAATTTGGGGAGGGCCTAGGTAAAAAAATTTTCCAAGATCCCTTTAACTCTACAACGTTTTTATACACTTTCAAAACATGATTAACGTCTGTCCCA